TGCGAATCAATGTCCTGACGTTCGATGTGCAGCAAAAATAAATATGCGCCGACAGCGCTGCGCTTACAGACGATTGCTCGTGCAAGGAAATGTGTGCGCCGGCGATTTAACTTCGCATTTTTCTGCCCTTTCCTCCCGACTTCTACCAGTTCGTGATCCCGTTGATGCTCGTTTTCATCGTCGCGAGATCGGTGGGAAACCGATTCAACGAGGGCATTTACGACACGCAGATCAGCATCAAGAAGATGCCTTTTCTTGAGCAGGTGAGCCACCGAGTCTGATAAATGATAACCCTTGGAGGGCGGTGGTCGATTTTAGCCCAAAACGGTTTCCGGATCAATCTAGCGAAACTAACTGCAACAGAAAAGCCCTCCGGTGGAGCGATCCTCTAACCTCCAACCGCCGATAGGTTCGCTTACCTATGAGTATAGTCTAGTATGCGGTAGTGTCTGCTTACGATGCCCCGTTTCTTTGCTCCGACACGAGGAAAATAGTTGTGGTCCCTTCCCCCTTTTCTAACGCCGTCATCGCATTACTACTCCTCCTCCGCTACCGACAACGGCACAATCAACGCCAACGTAGGAGCCTCCGGAAGAGACCCGAACGCAGAACATGCGCGCGAACCAGCTCATGTCGAAAGAAGTTGTGTGCCTGCGACCGATCGAGACGGTGGAGGCTATCATGACAATCCTTCGCGACTACGACCACAACTGCTTCCCGGTGGTGGAGGACAGGGACCAACGGGTGCTCCTCGGGGTGGTACACAGGTGACACTTGTTTTGTGGTGACACAATGCAGTGTGTGGTGCTGAGGTTTATCAACACCCCCTACCCCCAAGACCGATGATCTAATCCTACTGGAGTGCCCGAGGCAGCCGGTGTTGACGAGAGCGGTTCGCTGCACTTGGTCATGTCACGGGTCATGACGATCGTGTGAAAGTGGCACAGGAGGCTTCGCGTGCAACTCGCTTATCGTGTGCAGTGGTGACGTGGTGAAGTATCGTCCGAAGCCTTTTCTTCATTCCTACTCCATGGAGATAGACGATGGCGGCGATAAGCAGGGTAGGCGCAAGATGGCGGCGCTCTTTTCTACTCATGCCCATGATAACGATACAACAGGGGTTCAAAGACGAGGGGGTAAAGGTGTATGCCCTCCGAGGGGATTCTCTGTGACCTGAAAATACTTTCTGTATCCCCCAAGTAGACTGACCTCTTCTCTGGTCGTCTCTTGCTGAACGCTTTGTTCCTTTGCTACGTGCTCAGGAAAAATCTGGCGGTGCTCCTCATGGAAAGACACTTCACGGAACCCTCGGCTCAAGATCCCACCAGGTACGTGCCGTGAACCGGATGGCCAAATAGTGGTACATCTTTAGATATGCGATGGCCGCGGTGGCTTCTGGAACGCCGACGGAAGCCCTGGAATCACACATTTTCGAAAATGTTACGAACGTGTCTCCGGATATCCGTGGATACTGGTTGCACGTCCGCCGACACGTACATGGACATCTCGACGCACTTCAAGAGAATTGTCTTTAAACACAGTTTAAACGGAGATGGTGGAATGTCAAGACAAAGTTGTTCATGATAGCTTACCTTTTGAAGGTTTAGGAAGCATTATTTTCCTTGTGGCAAACGAGAAGGCAAATATTGTATGAGGCCCCGAAACAAGTTGTATTTTTGCCTGTTATTTACAGTAGTGTTGGGATAAGATCATGATTATCTGACGCGGCAGGGTTGTCGATTGCGACTGTCATGCACACCCCTCCACGCGCAGTTTGAACAGGGTTAGTCTTTTTCGCACGTGTTTGGTCGGAGGTTTTCGTTATCCACATTGTGGAGGGTTTGGGTTGATATTTCCTGACAACTCTACGAGCATGTGATCGCCTACAGCAAGTCGTTTTTCGAGAGAAACGGCCGTACCGGGCTATGGAGGTCAGAACAGTCTCCTGGGAATACAACCACCACGACAACTGTAAACCAGATGTTCCCCTCCCCGTAGGGCGTACATGGCCATGGTAACAACTCGCGACGGACGCGGTAGTACTTGGGGTAGCCCAGTCCACCCAGATGTAAATACGAATACAACCTGAGGCTGAAACCTCTTCCATCGGGTGTGAAAGTCTCCTCCTCAAGAAGCAGGAAGTGTGTGTGTAGTACGCGCTGCCCTCGACGACATTGGCCAGGGGGTTCACGTCAGCGGCATTCGCGGCAGCAACAAAGTCACTATTGAAACCCTCCGTGCTATCAAACGGGGATGGGCGCCGACAAGAGGAAGCTCGCCCCATGTTGTTGCACGTCCATGCGTAACTCTAATGTTTGTAGTCGACCCCGCTACTTGGCGCAGGCCGAATGACATACTTCCGGAGCTGTCGTGGAGTGTGCTCGAGAGGTCATACCCACACTATCCCACGTTCCAAGATATCAAGATAGGGGGCGAGCATTGGCATTGCCTTATGGACATCGCGCCCTATGTACAGATCGGACCACACTGCATCAACGGTAAGATGGAGATGAACGTTGAAGATTGAGACCGATCGATGTAGATCTGCCATAGGAATGAACGAGGGCTGCTCAAAGGTATCATCGGGCACCAATCAGGCTGAACTAGCTCACTATAGTAGCCTCTTGCACTATGCAGCCATTCCTGAACATGTCGCCTCCCCCCCCATTGTGTTGAGACCTACGTACGTCATCTGAAGGGATGTGTTCGAGCGTTGTGGTAGTTTCCTCGGTAATTGTCCATTCCCGGTGTTTAACGCCATGACTCGTCCTTAGGGCAACAATGTTCTCGGGGCAACGACCCCCGCTTTGGGGGCAGAAGTCCTCGCCAAACCCATTTCTTCCTCGAGGAGATCCAAACGGGGAGAAAAATGAAACACGATGAAATAGTCGTGGTTATCAGGGCAAAATGATGACAATAACAACAACAACAACAACCGTTATCAGGGCAACAATAAAAATAATAGCAACAACATCAACAACAACAACAACTAACCGTCGACAATAGCAATGCCAACAACAACAACGACGACGACGATGACGGCCACGTGGCAGCCTTCGTTGAGTTACTTGATCACCAGCAACAGAGTGCTCTGTACTATTATGATCGTAGTAGGTCGGTTGCCAATACGTCGCCGATTTACATACTACACACCGGTCGATGACGTCGGTGGCTCCAGGTAGAACTTGGCACCACCCTCGTCTCCTTGTTTGTTGTTGCCCATACCAAAACCGCGAGGGAGAAACAAACGCCAATTCCGGGACAAGCCCTAGCAAACCGTGAACTGATGGTGTCCTCGAGATCGAGGAGTACCACAGGGAGCGGGAGTGGCTCCTTATTTGATCGGATTTGGAGTCACGGCGAGGACTTCAACGAAAGCTTACAATCGAAAACCACCATGGCATGAAATTTGAGCGACTCCTTCGAACAACTGCTAGTCACACGTACGTACGTGTGTGCGCGCGTGTGAAACACACATATTTTGTATGCCCTCGCTCCGTTCTTGGCCTTTCTCCAGAGCACGCCTCCGCCCACAGGGCCTACATCATGTTCCGGACGTTAGGCCTTCGCCACCTAGTGGTGGTGAACCACTACAACGAGGTCATGGGCATGATCACGAGAGAGAACCTCTTGCCGGAGCACTTCGGTGCTGGCGGGGCATACTCCAGAACCCAGGATGTACAAGACAAGCTGTCCGCGGCATAGTTATGTCTACGTTGTTAGGATGAGAGATTGCACGCTAGGTGATGGCGGCGCGCGAAAACGTCAAACAATACATACAATTGTAGGTTGCCAATACGTCGCCGATTTACATACTACACACCGGTCTATGACGTCGGTGGCTCCAGGTGGAACTTGGCAAAGAAATAGACGACAAGCAATCGGGCAGAATGTCAGCGAACGTGTTTGGCGTGCTCTGTTTAGACGGGTACCAAACTATCATGGCGAGCTCCTTGTGGGCTTCAAACTTTGTGGGATACACATACTGTTGGCGCCCGTTGCGCGTGTTTAGTGTTGAGCTCATTCGATAAATTCAATAGACTACGAGCGAACGGGGTGGGGAGGAGTGGTCTTAGTGGATCGGTGCCAAATCTTCGGTTATGTGACGGGCTGTGCCTGTGACGTGAGCCTTGAATGTGACCAAAACTAAACGCCTGAATAAATCGACTAGAAACCCGTGACGGGGAGACTTTCAACGCGCATGTTTGAATAGGTAGGAAAGACTGCAGTCAGGCTTCTCCTTTCAATTATTGTGATACGTTGGGGGAAGGGGGTCTTCCGCCTTTGTTTCAGTACCTTGACACACATGCGCAGATGATTGCTTTTTGCAGTTCAGGGAGTTATTAAAGAGTTACTAGAGCACCGCCCTACCCCTATGTCAGAAGATACATGCATGTGTATCATACGTAACTTCTTTCGCGCTTGCATCCTTGCATACCGTGTTCCGTTCAACAACAAATCTTCTTAGTTTGGTCGTTGGTGGTAGGGAGGGCGGCGTACATGTACACGTGTACAGTCCAGCAGTGAGATGACCTTCAGAATGGATCGTCAAAGTCCGCCAAAGGCGATTCTTCCCTCGCTTCCATATTTGCGTCGACGAAGGGGGGGGGGGGGGGGG